AAAAAAAAAAAAAAAAGATGCACAGCTGATAAATACCTCATCAAGGGGCAGTGCCTGTGGCTCAGTGACTAGGGCGCCAGACCCGTATACCGAGGGTGATGGGTTCAAACCTGACCCTGGCCAAACTGCAACAAAAAAATAGCTAGGCCTTGTGGTGGGTGCCTATAGTCCCAGCTACTTGGGAGGCTGAGGCAAGGGAATTGCCTAAGCCCCAGAGCTGGAGGTTGCTGTGAGCTGTGATGCCACAGCGCTCTATCGAGGGTGATAAAGTAAAACTGTCTCTAAAAAGAAAAAAAAATAATAAAAATAAATAAATACGTATTTCATCCCTAACTTCTTTGCTGGTGTCTAGAGGAAGGAAGCCTCCAAAGTAGATTTGCTTGTTGTGTTATGATTTCTTCCATGGTTTGATTCCAGAGCCTCAATCCAGCTGGGATGGATTTGGACAGGCTATTGAAGCATGTGCTTTTTTTTTTTTGTAGTTTTTGGCTGGGGTGGGTTTGAACCCACCACCCCCAGTATATGGAGCCGGCGCCCTACTCCCTGAGCCACAGGTGCTTCCCTGCATTTATTTTTCTTCATGAGGGGGAACGGCTTTTACCAGTTAGCAATAACTTACTACATTAGAGCATGGAATAGTATGGCTTCCCTTGTAGCCTTTGGCTGAGGTGGGGGTGCGGGTTAGTGACTGGCTCCCACCAGAATTTATGACCCTGTGCAGCCGACAAATTTATAAGGTATTTATCGAGCTCAAGGGGAAATATCCCCTAGCCAGGCAAGTAGTTCTTAAAAAACTAAGCCTTCCGTTCTCTTTTCTTCCTCCCCTAGTTTGAACCTGGTCGTTAACAAGTCAGTTTTTAAGAATGTTTTCTGCAGATGTTCAGCAGAATCATCTACTATATGGCATCTCAAACATAACCTCTCCTTTAGACACAAAAAACCAAAGTGCTGAAAGAAGTTGGTTTGAATCCTTTCATAGAAAGCTCAGTTCATTGAAAGCATAACTTGATCAAAATTCCTGAACTGTTCTTTCCTACCCTCGATCCCCAGAGCCCAGTGCTAACATCGTTCTGAATAGACAAAGAGTGTTTTGGGAATGACAGTCAGGATTAAGATGTGTGTCTTTTGTCTCACTGCCCTGCCATTCTCTTTTGCTCCATGGGAAAGCTGGTCTTTAACAAGAGATCCTCAATTGTCCCTCTTATTATCTTGGCTGACGGCGTCCCTGGGTCAATGAAGTTCCTAGTAGGCCAGCTGCCGGTCTGACGTCCTTTTCCTATTACTCACGGAATTCAAATATACGGAAACCCTCACCCTCCAATCCTTTTTTTCCCCTAAGACGTGTACACGCAGGTGCACAAAAGCACGCACACATGTACAGAGGGGTCATGTGTGCACACACAGACTGTTTACAGGAACGTAGAGTCAGGAATCCAGTTACAAACCAATGTCCACAACCTGGGACCTGGGGTCACAGTTCAGGGGCTCTGTGAGCTCACAGGCACATGAATACCTTTTCCTGCCACACCCAGGCTCGGCCACGTTTGTGTCAGAACCAATGGAAGTTTCCAGACATGGCGGTAACCCATGCACTGAACTTTGGAATTCATTGTTATTCTTTTTTTTTTTTTTTGAGACAGAGCCTCAAGCTGTCCCCCTGGGTAGAGTGCTGTGGCATTACAGCTCACAGCAACCTCCAACTCCTGGGCT